ATATTATTGTTGGTTGCAAATTTATGGATGTTCAATTCTAGAACTAGGTGTAATTAATGAGACCTAGATCATGCTTTTTAACACACATTCAAGTGTTTATTCAATACAAAAGAAAATATAAGTGGTGCAAACAATTTGGTTTTCAAACCAAATTGCATGAATAATGCTCGATGATTAATGTGTTTGTACAGGCAAGAAATCTATTTGATTTTAGTTTATTGTTTGATACCTTTTTTCCTTGTGTTTTACTTTATTGATTAGTTTTGCGGCGGACGATTTATAATATAGCTGCAATACGTTTTGGCAACATTTTACATATATCAATAAAGAACATCCAATGTTTCACAATTAGGTTTGTCTTTACTCTTCAGTTGAACAGTTTAGATTTAGCTCATTTCAATTAACAATACGCATTTCTTATGTAATTGCATTTAAAAGATTGCTATACATTAAAATTTGATAAATATTGCTCTTCAAATACTTATGTTGACGATGTAATATTTTAGTGTTTTGACGATTTATTTTTTCAAATAGTTTGAAACTAACATTCAAAGAAAGATTTACTAAATAAACTCTTGTTATGCTGCAATACATATAGTAACTGCACTCTTGGCATAAGAACACGATGTAATAATACTCGTACAAACATGTAACCTTAAATTATATTTAAGAAATTTTCTGCTGTTCACCTAAAATTTACAAAACATAATATCTTCCTCTTATTTCAACCAGATCTGTGTCAAGTAAAAATTAGTCAAATTCAATAAAACAAAACAAGCTAGTTGAATGTAAACATAAGTCAAGATATCGAAACAAGTGTGTGTATAACACTACTTTTTACGTAGATTATTTTTGGACAAAGTTTCTGCTGTATGTAAGATAACTTAACATTGCAGAAATACAAATACACTCCATCAATTTATATTCCATAAATATAATCCCATGCGTATACAAAACATTATACATGAATACAATAATTCCTATTCATAGTACAAACGATAGCCTGGAGTCGTATAACAGTACAAACAGCATTGCTAGTTGCATTGTTGACAATAGTTTGTCAAACGGAGTTAGATAAACCAACACGGTGTCCCATGAGGACCCCGTAGCATTAGACAAATAGACAGATAGACAGACACATACAGACAGACGGACGGATAGACAGACAGACACAGAGACAGACAAGCGGTCGCGAGGGGAATACAGTACTTGTTGCATCTCAAGCGCAGACTTTAACATCTCAAGTGTACATCGCTAAATGTACTTTGCAAAAATAAAATAAAAATAAAAATCCTAACGGTAATTTAACAAACAAAAATAATATTTCATTCGGAACTAAGTATGCCTACTATACGTAAAATATTAGTTTAAGTTGAAAATTACTACTGAGGTAGGTTAATATTTAAAGGTTTTTCATAAATTTTAACATATAAAAAATTCTATACAATCTGTTGCAGAGAACATAGAAAGAAATTTAAAGTATAATATCACAGAATAAGAACACTTTAGTTAAACTAATATGTTCAGAAAAATACAGGTGATACAAATACATTGAATAAGAGGGCCATTTTGTATATTTTGAATGTTTATATTACACTAGTATTTTTATTTACATCTATACTGATTACTCACAAGACGGTAAATACATAAAAAAGATGGTAGGTGGCGATCGATTTCGATTGGACACTCCAATCATCATCAGACCCAATAGGCAAATGCTGTCTCATGATTAGAGTGTCCAATCGAAATTGATCACCACTTACCACCTTTTACATGTAATTACCGTCTTGTGAGTAAACATTAAGTGTAAATAACTAAATATATTATTATAAGTGTTGTTAGACTATTTTTTTGCGCTTTCAGGTAATTTAATAACACGTACGATGCTGATCAAGATGTAATTTTTTTTCTTTCTTACGTTCGTTAAATGATTACAATTATTGCTATGTAACAAGTTTTGGGTAGGTAACCAAATTTAGGAAATGCCTAACGCAAGTAGGAATGATGTTTCGGTTCTTATTTGATATTAAAAAAGTCATCGTCGCGAAAAGGTAGGTTCGATTTGCTGAAACATCTTTGACATATTTGCTGTAGATTCTTATAAGTAAATATAGTACACTTAAAAACACATATGTTATGAATAAAAAATATGTACTTTGATCTCAAGTCTAAAGATCTTGCAAATAATAAACTGCAACAAAAAAAACTTATGTTTTTAGTTTTTAGTTTAGTTTACAACTCAAAACTTAACTTAAAAATTTAAAAACTGCCACTATTTAAAATCTGACAAATAAATCACGTAGTTTTTGCAACATGTTGATGATAAAATCAGTGAAATAAATCCAGCCGCAACAGAAGTAATTAAAAGCCAACACTGAATCTAGGATAGTGGCCACACTAATTGGGTTTTGTAGTTAAAATTAATTGTAAATATTATTGTTTGCGTGGTGAGAGAATAATAGCTGTAGCGGGTGCCAACGCGTATAGCCGTGGACACGCACGCCACAATGGACATAAAAACACTACTGTTGCATTCTGCTCTGTTTCTAATATAATTGTATTTTTAGTAAGTTTACGTTGAATGTTTTTGAAATTTAAAAACTAAAATATTATTCAAACTGAGATTTTTTTTGCATTGTAGCTAGTGTTTATTTTTTGTAAGCTTTGCTTTTCATATTGCAAAAATAGGTTGAAATTATTACAATTTATTTATAAACTTTATACTTTCCTTTACCTCACGTTTAATTGATAAAAATTCTAATACTCATGAGTAGCCTATAATAGTTTACATACGTTGTTATGTTTACTAAAAAAAGTATTATGAATGAGTTAGGTATTCGTAGTGCTTCCATTTCAAAATATGGTAGTATCATTTGCTCTTTACTACTTCTCAATCTTAACAAAGACGATTATATATACGAGTAATATATGTAGATCGTACCGTGTTATTTTTTACATAATAAATTCAAGTGTTATTAATAAAAATATGTATCCAACAACATTATACTATTATATTTTGTAAAAAGTACACAATCTATTTGTAGTTTCATTCAAATTATACATTCCAAACTGAATATACCTTCAAATAGCTTAATTATTTGTTATACAAATATTAAATTCTAAAGCAAAATACAGACAACAAGTAGTTGAAAAGGTCTTTTAAAATACTCACATTCAACAAAAGATAATCTATATATGCAATGATTTAGTAATATTACGTGTCAAGTTTTTTAATTAAGTTGAAAGCCCAGAAGTTTGCATTATAAAGGTCGAGTAAGGTCCACAAGATAACAAGTCCCAAGATAGCGTCCGTTTTTGTCCACCAGGCGTTATTTTGAATTTAAAGTTCGTACAAGGAAATATAAAATCGTCAGTCATAATTATTTTTATTAAAATTACCATTATATTTCTTATCTTATGAATAAAAGAATTAAACTAATTTTTCGTTGAACTCTGCAAAACAAAAGTAAATTAAATTTTAAAAAAGTTTCAATATTTCACTAATTGTTTTGACGTCAAGTTTCTCCGTATTTATTAATGAATCGTTTTATATTTTTCTTGAGTTCTTAAAAATCTAAGTAAAATCTTCTTCCTAAATATGCATACAATATCGAAACCTAGTGACTGTAAAACTATATTTATTTTTTAAACAATCTTCACTATATACACAGTATAAAATTAATGAACTCTAGTAATTTACATGTGTTTGAAAAACTTTGTATCGGTCTTAAATCATACTACTGTATTATACAGAAGAAACTATTAATATGTGTCAATAACCTGTTACCGTCTCCAATCCTATAGTTTTAATAAATTAAAATAGTTTAAGGCTATATTGCAATTTTATACCTTTCGTCATCTTCTATTTTGCTGAACACTTATATATTTATTAAAATAAGAAGACAGAAGATTTGACAGGAAAACAACATTCCTTGAAATCCATTAGTCATTTATTGAAAGAAGGAAATATTTTATCAACAACGGATACAAGTTAAAAACCTATTATTTATTTAATATCATTTTTTAATTCAAGACACATAATTTCCAAATAATATGCACAAATATACCAGGTTTTAAACAAAACATCGTACTATAAAGAACACTAAATTAGTTTACACGAATCACAGGTCGTAAAAAAGCAAGAAACTCAATTTTACACAACAGTTATACGTTCAACACAACATTGTAGTACTTTTACATAAAACATAATATTTTCCAACACCGTATCATACACAAAACATCACTCTTTACGCTACAGAACAAGAAAGTAACATAGTCTAGTAATACAGCAAGGTCGGCCTGTTATGTTCAAACATGACAATTCCAATATTGGGAATTATTTGCCCACGGCGTTCGATTACTAGAGCATTGTATTAAATTAGAATTTTCCAATTTCAGATAACGTTCGCTTCCACAGCGCCGTAAATGAAATATCTTTTGTTCTCCATTTGATTAAACCTCTATTAATTTTTGTTTAATATGCATGCAGTACGATTCGTGTAGTGAATAACGATGTTACAATGTTTCCGATGTTGTGTTTTATTTACATTGAATATTTGGATAGTTTATTTACTACCATGATTAGAGTTCTTGTAATTACGAGATTTCAATAAAGTTTTGTAATTATGTTTTTTTTATCATATTCTTTGATGTACCCTTTTGACCTCGCCCCTTTGTTTACATGATAAATTTCACACATATATTAAATGTCCACATGGATGGGAAAATGAAAGTTTAAAAAATTAACGCGAATGAACTAATTTATGTTTTTCTAATTACTTATGGAAACCAGTGTACGTTTCTCTTAAAAATGGCTTTATTTACTATCTCCTGGAATAAAAACTCTCACCAATTTCCAATTAACAATACGAATTTGTTTATTTCGATTGCATTAAAAAGATACATATATTAACCTAAATCTAGCACTCAATACCAAAATAATTAATTAAGATGCAATATATCATATAGTATAAAAAATATATATATATTTCAACACTCACCGACTAATCGAGTATCCAATGTCCAACAGTCACTCAAAACACAAAACCGCACAAGACCATCACTGAAGATCAACTGATCCGAGTGGATTTCATCTTAACGATTTACAATTACACAACTACAATCAGCTGGTTCTACGAGGTATGACGTCACTGACCGTCCTGTACCTTACAAGGTACACAGGTGGAGTCGAGCGTCAACAGCTGATCTGAGCGTCGCGGTGCTCTGACCGGCGTCGAGTCACTAACTGGTGTACGGTCGGCGGCGTCGGGACGACTCTGGACTTCGGGCGTTTCCGTCACCACTCGACCGACCTCGGCACCGCCTCCGCCACCCCCAGCATAATAACTCGCTTCATTACATTGATCATATCTGGACAGAGAGGGTTTGTGCGACGGTCAGACTTCCTCTAAGCAGCTTTAATTGATACAACTTCATCACTGCGTTATATGGCGTTTTGTAAGGAAAATTGTAGCTTTTAGTGTCCAGTGTTTCGTTTATTCGTCGCGAATTCTTTCTGCTAATGATCCTGGGTATTTCCATACAACTTTCATTGACAGTTGCCAATTTAAAACAATGAGTCCCAAGTGTCATGTAAGAAAGTCCAAATGCTAAAGATAAAATAACGAAATTGCTTTGTTGGATGGTTTTTAATTCGTATATCTAATTCAATAACTTTGGCTTAGTTTTGTATGGTAACGGTCTACATCTTGCGACCAAATAATTTCCTTTCACTTAAATTACACCATTATTTAATAATTTATCATAATAAAATACGAAACATCTTAGTCCAATGACAATCTCATTTAGAACCGGAGAAGCGACTATCATATTGAAGAGAATGCTGAAACCGATTGGCTACCCATACAATTATACTCTTGCATTCTCATTTTACATTACTAAATTCAGGGAAGTAAACTATTGAACCCCAATCCAAACCTATTTATTAAGGGTGCAATCGTAATCGAATCCTGGTTAACGTCACCGTGACGTTTTAGTCCAGGGAGCTGAAACCCTACTGGACTGAGGCTGTTTTAGGACTGTGTCCCCTTCCAAATCCTCCAGGAAAATAAGAAAGACGTCACACACAATCAATGAGCTCTTAAATGATGATTCTGGCTGCTCTCAATAACTACGATTCTATGTTATCTTGTCCATCAGAGTTCGTTAACGATTGGTTAAAAATCCGCATTAGTAAACACCAACGTAGAAAGTTGTTACAGTTGACAATTCGTGACCTTCATATTCTAATTTTATTTTATTTAAGTTTGAATCGTGGTAGCCCATCCCAAATGGCAGTTCAAAACGAAATATGTGTGTTAAGCAGAAGATTGCCACCTTAAACAAATCTGATATTTATTGCATTAAGGTGGTTTAGCCTTAAAATTTCTGTCAACTGTATACTGAAATTGGTAAACCCAAAACTATTCAACTCAAACCAAATCTAAGAATAAACTATTTGAGTAAAAATGTATTTTAATTAGCTGGATAAGTAATCTGCAATAGTATGATAATATTACAGTAGGCCTATATACATTTTAGGAAAAACTATATTAATGTCCATGAGCCTAATGAGAATAGTTTATACATAAATCGAATATACAAGTGGTTGATATTCTAATAAGTAAGAGAGTTTTAAAGTAAAATATATGCTTATGATATTAAATCATAATTCCAAGTATGCATTTTTACAAACGTCAAAGCTTTCATAAGTAAATAATAAATACATTATATTACGTTCATTTTAATGTCATTTGCTACAGCAATAACAATTTCATGGCAAAACTTACTGGTATCCTTTCCGACCGTTTTATTTTATATAAACACTCTCTACATTTCAACGTGCGTATATTTTACTTTGTAATGTCTGTCTTTGTGAATAACATTAAACGCAACATTAAAGATTAAATTTATAAAATCTTTAACTGTATAAAAATTACTCCTTAGTCTTCATCTTTCATTTTCTTATTCGGTGTAAAGGTATATATTAAAAGTGTAATCGTAATGTATATTTTATCACCTGTACTTGACTTAGTGCATTATGTCCATGAATATATTTACTTTTGCGTAATATATTATTGAAGACATGCCTTGTGAATTGAAGCTTTAAAATTAACCATACTCAAATGATGAATAATCTCTTTGAAAAAATAGGTTTAACATGAACTCTTCACTTCAAAGTGCAGAAACTTTACATTTACCCATATTTAACAGGAAGATGTGTTTTGAGTTATTTTAAGGAACGACTATGACAAAACACTATTTTAATTTTTAACTATTAATAATTATTTATAATTAAGTTTAGTTAAACGTTACTGGAACAAGCAAAACTGAAAAACATCCTTTAAGTTCAAAGTATAAACATAGAACTTAAATTTATACAAACTGTTTCATCTTTACCTCAACATTTAAAAGAAAACTGTAAAAACGTTTTCCAATTGTGAGTAATTACCCAAGCTGTGTAAAGACTGCAATGTTTTCTGTGTTTGTAAAAGAAGCGAGCAATTAGGTGGCCGTGGTGCTACAGACATTAATGAAACATCGTCCCCATTGAATACACAGCATAATAGGGGATCATGTTATTTTAAACAAAGGCATTGTGTCTTAAACCTCTAAAGATCTTTATAAAAGACTCCCTTCTTTATAAGAGGAATTAAATCAAAACAACACTCGTTGCTTTGAGTTTTATTTTTACAATGCGATAAAAGTGTGTTTTGGTCTGGTGCTTAATTGTTGTAGTAGTTATTTTACTGCTAAATCGTTTGGATTTTTTGTATTGTTAATTGGTCATGTATGCATCAAATATACGACGAAAGGGTGAATCTACAATCTCTATGTAAAAAGCATAAATTAGTTTTATAACGTCACGACTTTCCTTTTAATTTCAAATATTATCCTATTCTAGATTTACGAAAAACTTTTAACAAGAATAAATTACTATCTATAGTCAAATTTCTAATGACGAATATTACAAACCTAATGCGGTTCAGTTGTTGTATTGTTACCAATTAATAGGGTGAATGTAAAGCTCACGGAATTTCAAAGCAAATTTTATTTTTTTAAGTAAAATCATATTTCTCAACCTTGCCTGTAAAACCGGTTTAAAAACGTAATTTTTCGTTTCCAGTTTGGTTAAAGTACTCTAATCTTATAGATTAAATTTTTTTGCAAAACTTATGACAGCTAGCCTGACCATACTATTGGACCGAATTACACGCGGGTTGTACCAAAATAAGGGTTATTGGTCCTATATGTACAAGTTTTATTTATATTTAGAAAATATTTATGTTAATTGGGTCAAAAATATAAATTAAACTTTTCTTATGAAGATTTAACATGGGGCTAATTCTATATATTAATAGACGAGCATGTTTATTAAAACCTTTTTCTCAGCTCGTGTGAATCGCAGGGAAAATCTACGCATACTGTTAGAACGATATTTGCCTGTAGGTGTGCAACATCCTTTCATAAACTAAAATAGGCTAAAAATACTGAGCACAAAATATGAATAAGATAAATTATAGAACTTACTCTTCACTTTACTCTTTGGGCATTGTGACATATTACAAGAGATATCATCCAAATAGTGTGGAGTGTATATGATTTCATTTAGTTTAAATATTTAAATATTTTAGATAACAAATTTGTTGATATAGCTAATGAAGAGCGCAATGACAAAAATTGCACCTGGATCAAGTAACGACTCACTGGGAATTGAACTGGTGACCTAATCAATAACTTAATTACCCCTTTTCTCACGTATACACTATAACTTTGTTTCAACTTATCATGTAAACACAACAATCACAACAGCTGGGCGGTGACTTCAGACTAGACATGATCACTAACATCGCGAGGCCGGCTCACCATATGTTGAGGGATTCAATAAAACCGCCTCTTTGATCTAGTGTCCACTGCCTCTGTCTAAGTCTAATGTCCCGGCCAGGAATAACTCACACACGGTATTCGTTACACCAGTCCAGCGTATCAGAGGCCTCGACAACTTGTTTAGTTTACTTGGCACGAACACAACAATTACATGTTGCAATGAGCTTTGCAACGAGAAGAAAGACTTAGGAGTTCTAAAAAAACAGAAGACTACATCATAATCTGACTATGAACATTTATTTTTAGCACTGAGGTATTTTATGCTTTGCTTCAAAGATTTTACTGAATATTGTCATCAAGTAAATGATTTCCTCCAGTCAGTTCAATATTGTTTGTGTGTATTCCTAACAAATAGACACACATACAACTGCATAGATGGAATAATTTATATTTCACAGATAATTTATTTCAATTTTCAACTTAACTAAAAAATAAAATAGCTGAAAAAGATACTTAAAACGAAGCTAAAATTTGAAATTTTTGTAAAACTTGCTTGGTATTTTGTATTTTTTTGGAAAACTCTTTAAACAGCCTTATAAAACAACTTCACTCACTTATACAAAACCACCACCAACCATCTAAAACGATCCACCTCCATAGGTTTGGATTTTACTCACATTACTCTAGAACTTATTACTTAAAGTCAATATTTATAAGAACATTCATTTTTTTATATTAGGCCTATTTCAGTTTCCAAAACTGAATTTGTAATAATCCCTTTGCTTAAGTTTACCATCCATATTTGTAAATTGTTAATTTGGGTTTATCAACATGGATAAGATTGTGAACCGATACATTAAATTTGTTAAAACATATGAACATCACACTAATTCAAAGAAACTCTTACCTGCGAATATACTCCTGACACAAACGGCTGGAAACACAACGATGTAAAACCTGCAACAGAAAATACACCATCATTCTCGTAAAACTTTTCTGTAAGTCCATCAGTAAGAAAACGGATACTTTTGTCAATCTGAAACTTGGGTGAAATGTGAAGTAGGCTATCTTATCCAACCGATCAATGACAGAACTACTAGATCTAGAGGATTCGCTGTTGTTAAAGTATTATCAGTCCAAATGGGTATTTAAAATTAAGGAAATTGTACGTATGTATGCAATAGCCTACAAAACTCGTACACGAAGCCAACAGAATTGTCATTCAATCTAATTTTGTTTATTCTTTCTTCCATCTATGCAACCTATTTGCCAAATTGGTACATGATTGAAGACCACAAAGAAATCTTAAGTAAATATGTGTTATCGAAAGTGACTGTACCTAGTGATGAGTAGCCACGTGCTGGGTGCACGTGTACAGTCACGTGCCGCAATACTAGACCCCCGCGGTGCTGTGGACAG